GGGGCGGCTTGTTTTACAACGTCGTTGCCAAGCGACGAAAACCCAACCCCGATGGCAAACACCGGGAGGGGCGGCTTGTTTTACAACGTCGTTGCCAAGCGACGAAAACCCAACCCCGATGGCAAACACCGGGGGGGACCGAGAATAGGACAGGGAGGGGGGACGCAGACCCTATTCCCTAACCCTGACCCTAAACCCAACTTAATCCGATTGCATGCCTTATCCAACGTGTTTCATGACAAGAAAAAAACTGCAAAGGCTACTCTGTGAACATTTGGTGTTGAGGTATGGTCGTGGGGGGGTGGTGCATGATGATGGTGCAGCAGTGCGCTGGTTTGTGGGGCGAGTACTTCTTTCATGCGGCGGCCGCGGACCTAGGTGGTTCATTTGTATTATGTTGATGGACGACACCATGTTGTGTCGATTGATTGTGGCAACAGCGACAAGTGATGCTGATCGTAGCGCCTTTCCCTCTTGCAAGGATCACGTTCGTCAACCTAGGTGAGCCCAGTGAAGGAGTCCTTCCGGCAGCGTATTGTGTCGATTGATTGTGGCACCAGCAACAAGTGATGCTGATCGTAGCGCATTTCCCTCTTGCAAGGATCACGTTCGTCAACCTAGGTGAACCCAGTGATGGAGTCCTTCCGGGAGCGTACTTTGCGTCGTGCTGGCTACAGCACCCGGTCTGTTTTTTTTTGTATTTTCATTTTTTGGCGCGCACTGCAGGACGTTACGTGAGCCTGCAGGAGGTGAAGGACGCCGTACGTTTACTCCACCGAGGCGGGGCAGGGATGGACAGGCAGGCGCTTCTGGACGGCTGCTTGGTGCGATTACGTTGGCAGCTGCGGTGTTGGCGATGGCGGCCATATGTCATGTCTTAATTTATCGGCCTGCCGTATATGTGTATCTCAAGTTCGAGTGGCACCTTTGGAGACGTTTAAAGCAGTCTAGAGTCTCCGAATGCTGCAGATCATGTTGAATGTTGAGCGGTTATCGAACCAGGCATTACAACTTGACAAACCTCTTGTCCCCAACCCCCCCCTGCCCCC